TTTTGGGATGTCCATGTTTTAGATAGAAATGTCATATTAAAAATAACTCAATAAAAATGTAATCAAGCAGATGACCTGACGAAGCAGAGGAGTTAGGCTCCATTGACTGATGGTTCAGTATATAGTAGTGTCCAGAGGTTAAAGCTTAGTAGGCAGATGGAAGAGGCATAAGAAAGAAAATAAGATGAAATAAGAGGGAGAAAGGCTAGTAAGGTCCGTACCATCTTAAGTGACCTAGAGTGACTTCAGTGCTTAGCATTCCTATTTAATTAGATTTCTAACCTTATGTTGTTATCTTTAGGCTGGTTAATTATAAATAAAAAATTATTTACGCCAGTCCCATTATGCTACAACATTTCAAAATAATTATCTATATACTTAACTAAAAGGAATGGAATCAGAAACCTTGCATAGTAATTGCATATCTTTCAAAAACTGAGCAAAGTAATATTTTGAAAAAGATATCTCATAGCGTGCAGTAACTAAGGGAAAAATATATTGTAACAGGAAGAAATATTGGCCTACGAAACAATGAAAACTAAAGACTATAGAGAAACATGGAAATAAATAGATCCTGAATAATAGAACACCTTTCAAGAACAGACAAAGAAATCATCTGTAGGGCAACAGAAAAACCGGCTCCATAAGGTAAATATACAAGAAAAAGTAGGACTAAAGGCCGTAAGTATCCCCCAATGAAAGAGACCTAATGAAAAATTAAGGAAAGAAAAATGAAAAAAGGAGAATTAGCTTAAACAAATTTGGAGATCAGAAAGCTCAACAAAAAGGAGACAAGATAAAGGATATAGTTTCAACAATAATAAAAAGAATCGCAAGAGGCTTTCGAGAAGCAATTGGAAATCAAGAGAATAAGTAACTGTAAGCTTGGTTAAATCAAGCAATTTGTTCAAACATTTCGGGCATGGCACAGAAGAAACTGGGGAATATGAAAGCAAAATAACTAGCATTATGGAAATAATGCCTCGAGAAATACGGATACAGTGACAGTAACCGAGCGAAATCAGTCAATCAGATAAATAAGAAAAGGCACTAGAAAGACTCTATTTTGATTTGAATAGCCGAGCTAGATCGACAATTAATGGCACAAAGAAAGGGGAGGAGAATGAAACAAGCGAAGTCTGATTAAAACTCACTAAATCCGATCAAAAAAGAATACCTCTTTGGTTAGAAGTTTGTGATAGTGAAGAGGGAAATAAGAGGACATGAGCTGAGTATATTTTCCAGCAAAAAGTTTGTCAATAGATAGGCTTCACTCTCTCTGGCTAGTTGTAGCTAGGTGCTGAAAAAGTAGGAAAAACATCCATGGCCCGAAGCTGAAAATTATTAGGATAAAAGAGGATTCGGAACAAGGCGCGTTTATCTATTTCACCCTGAAAGCATGACCAAGTTTCGAAAACGAAGTCAAACCACTTATGCACTTATAAATGTAGCTCAGCTAACTCACATAATCATATAGCATAGATTAAGATTTAACAGCGATCAAAAATATGCGAAGTGTGCTTCGCTATAAAACTCGCAAAAATAGCTTCAAAGTAAAAAAAACGTATTATGCTACTTCAAGCCGATGTAGAACAAGATCTTTAACAGCATTGACTATGAAATGTGCTCCTCTTCAATAATGGAAGCAGAGATAGGACAAAAGAAGTCTTTATTAAGCCGTGTGTGCCATTAGGGTCAAGATCCTAAAATACTGATATATTTCTTGTTAACTATTCTAGTGATCAAGAAAAAGTGAGGCCTAGATAAAGCATGTAAGATGCATGAACAAAAGGTTAACAGTATATAAGATTGAATTAAGCCGTGCAGTGCATTATTATAATTTATTAAATGCATTGTATAAAAATCTTGTCTTAAAAAAGGGTCAGACCCACTGGTATCGGGCAAGATGAAAGTGGCCCCTCGATATAGAGGCCAAGATTATAGTGTGCGAGATCTATCAATGCCTCTGGACAATGTAGTGCAGCCGCCTGCTCCTCGTGGAATATCACAGCAGTCCAATCAATCTGCCCAAATCCCTGATTTTTGGAAAAATGCTGTAATGTGCCTGCGTCCTCGCCAGCTTCAACGCGAGAGTGAAGAAATCGACCAGACTCATGAAGGCGAGCCAACTCATGATGGATCTAAGCAGATATAAGAAACACGTCATTAAGGAATTTATTCATATCAAGTTTCGCATGTTAAAATTGAGCAAGTAGAAAATACAATTCAAAGGAAAGGTAAGATGAGGTTAAACATAGGAATATATAAACTTAGGCTATTGGTTGGATAATGCTAGATAGAGCATAAGACATGCATTCAATATACAGATGGAGATGACAGATAAATAGCTCCAGTACTGCGTTCTCCGCACCAAGCAACGAACTCGTCAAAGAGACAAGTGAAGTCAATCCCTCGACAAACGTGCTGCCAAAAACGGTTACATTAGCACTACTCTTTCTGTCCTGGCCTATCTATCTACTATATACCCTCTTATCCCACCGCCACCCTATCACAACTTCTCACTTTTTTACATTCCACCCGTCAAAATATGTGCCCTTTTGTGGCAAATCTAGTTTAATCTCATCACAATTGCTATTTACCCCGACCCCTCCCTTTCGATCGGCTGATTCGACTCGGGCCTCCAATCCGTATACCCTCATTGTCTCGTAGATCCGTTGACCGATTTCACACAAACAGGGACTGGAACCGAGTGAAATCGCTCAACCAGAAAGATAAGGATCTACGAGACAATAAGGAGATCCGGATTGGAGGCCCAAGTCGGATCAGCCGATCAAAAGAGAGAGGTCGGGGTAAATAGCATGGTGACGAGGCCACACTAAATTTGCCACAGAAGGGCATTTTGACGAGTTTAAT